GGACCGGGGCCTGCTCCCTACATGCACGATACTATTCAAATGAGTGTTTTGGTGAGTTTAACACAATGAAAAAATTGAATAAAATTAAATCAACACTAAATAAAAATAAACTACATCAAATTAATTAAGGAGAAGTGTTTAATATACCTCTAGGAGGTGGTAAAAGTGACTAATAATGGATGGAAAATCTAATAACCACCATTGGTAAAGAGAGAAAACCTGGCTATCGTGACTTTTGCTAAAGAGAAAAGGAGAGATGAGTGTTTTAGAGAGATCAAAGTGTTTTTTTTTTTTTAAGTGTTTTAGAGTTGTTAATGAGTGTTTTTCATGGTGGGGAGGGAGGGAGGGAGCGAAAGAAACATATAGTTTTTAATTTGAAATGAGTCATGGATAACATTTACTGCTTGTTAATTATTTAAATATTTTTTCAATATTATTATTTTATCAATTTGAAAAACTTATATTCAAATTGATTAATTTTTGTCAAAAATGTAATAACTCTTCTTGATTAAAAAAATGCAATGACATTGATAGGGTAATGGCGTTTCGGCTAGCGGTCCATTCATGTGCTCACACTACTACCACTCCATTTCTTAACTTTAAAAGTCAAGTCTTTTTTCACCTTTTTGCTAGGAAAATCTTGAACTATTTGGTCCACTCCATAGAAATTGTACCTGCACTACTTTTGATTTTTAAGGATACACACACACACACACTTATAATTCTCTTTTATAGAAAACAAACACGTCCTTAAGAAAAAGGATAACATTAAGTTTTTTCCTGTTTTTGATGGCCTAACTGAGATGCTTTACAAAAGATGGTCATTAAATTGAAACTAAAACTAAAACTAAATAAGCTTGTGAATTTACGGTAACCCAATAAAGAAATCTTTGTGGATTGTAATCGTCTTACATGGTGATCATTTCTCTTTTTTTTTTTATTGTTTTTTTAATTACCTTCATCACACTTTTTTTATATTTTGTACTTTAACTTTGTATTGATTTGAAATTATTTTGAATGATTTGTTTTAGATATTTATGTAAGAGAATATCATGAATCTGACATGTCCAAAACAGTAAAGTGACCTGTTATTTTATTTTTATTTTTATTTGTTTCGTTTTTGATTTTTTAACTAATTTATTTTTAATTTTATTTTTTTAATATTAAATTTGTTGAGAATTAGAATTCTTGATTTTTTTTATTTGTCTTTTATGAGATAATTTTAGTCTTATGATTTTAGTCATGACTTTGAAAGATCAACCCAAATTGACTTATTTTTTCAATCTTTTTGGTATTTCATTTTATTTTTTCAATTTAATCATTAAATATTAGGTTGAATGGGAATTGAGTTTCACAATTTTTTTTAATTTTTATATTGTGAAGCTATCCTGATCTCATGATTCGAGTTACATATTTGACGAATTAACTCAAGTCTTTCTTTAGTTTTTTTTTAGATTATATTTTTTTCCAGTTATGTTTTTTAACATTGTGTTGGTTTGAGAATATGACTTCATAATATTTTTTAGTTTTCTATTAGGTTATCTTATTCTCATGACTTGAATTGGAGGGCTTGCCCAAGTTTTCTAGGGTTATTTTGTCCTTTTTGGTAATTGATTTTTTTCCTATCATATCATTTTATATTGAGTTAGTTAAGAATTGAGTTTTGTAATTTTTTTAATATATATTTTATGAGATTATTTTGATCTCACAATTTAGATCATTCGTTTGGTTGGCTAACAAGAGTTAGCTTGATTTTTTTCATCAAATTTTTTAAAATAATTTTTTTTTCAATTTCATCTTTCAATAATAAATTAACTAGGAATTAAGATTTACAAATGTTTTAAATTTTCTTTTTACCTATTTATTTTGTTCTAATGACCTAGGTTACAGGTTTGACAGGATAGCCTGACTTGATTTAATCATTTTTTTATATTGGTTTTTTAATTTTAATATTTTTTTTAGTTATGTCCTTTAACATTTTGTTTATTGACATATTTTTCTTATTCTTAGATGAATTAAAATTGTATTTCATAAATTATTTTATTAAATTTTATTTAATTTTCACATGATCATGTAAGATATTTATATGAACTTTTTAAGAATATTGACAAGAAATCTTTTCAAATTATGGGCATGCCTTTTTTTTTCATGTAATTATGATTAATTTTCTTTTAGTTCAGTTGATTTATTGATTAATTATTTTGTTTTTATCATATAATAAAATGAAGTATATTTATTGAATCTAACTAGGTCTATAACTTGAATTTGAGGATTTTTTTTTTACTTTTTAGAAACACACTAACAACATCTAAATATTTTTTTTTATAAAAAAATATATATTTAATTCGACGTGTAGTATAAAATGTGCCACCAATTTAGTCTCATTTATTATATATATAAAAATAGAGGATTAAACACACACTTTCACTTTTTGCTACCCCTTTTAACATCTGAATAAATTGAATGAAATGCAGTGAAAGAAGATAAGTCTCTTCTACCATTAGACCAAGTCCTAGAATGCATGTAATAACTCTTCTTGATTAAAAAAATGCAATGACATTGATAGGGTAATGGCGTTTCGGCTAGCGGTCCATTCATGTGCTCACACTACTACCACTCCATTTCTTAACTTTAAAAGTCAAGTCTTTTTTCACCTTTTTGCTAGGAAAATCTTGAACTCTTTGGTCCACTCCATAGAAATTGTACCTGCACTCCTTTTGATTTTTAAGGATACACACACACACACTTATAATTCTCTTTTATAGAAAACAAACACGTCCTTAAGAAAAAGGATAACAATAAGTTTTTCCCATTTTTTATGGCCTAACTGAGATGCTTTACAAAAGATGGTCATTAAATTGAAACTAAAACTAAAACTAAATAAGCTTGTGAATTTACGGTAACCCAATAGAGAAATCTTAGTGGATAGTAATCGTGTTACATGGTGATCATTTCTCTTTTCTTTTCTGTTTTATTGTTTTTTTAATTACCTTGATCACTTGACTTTTTTTTATATTTTGTATTTTAACTTTGTATTGATTTGGAATTATTCTGAATGATTTGTTTTAGATGTCTACATGAGAGAATATCGTGAATCTAACGTGTCCAAAACAGCAAAGTGACATTTTTATTTTTATTTGTTTTGTTTTTTATTTTTTTAATTGATTTATTTTTTATTTTATTTTTTAATATTAAATTGGTTGGAAATTAGATTTTTTTATTTTTTTTATTTATCTTATATGAAATAATTCTAGTCTTATCACTTTAGTCATGACTTTGAAACGTTAACCCAAATTGACTTATATTTTCAGTCTTTTTGTATTTTATTTTATTTTTTCAATTTAATCATTAAATATTAGGTTGAGTGGAAATTGAATTTCATAATTTTTTTTATTTTTATGTTGTGAAGCTATTCCGATCTCATGATCCGAGTTACACGTTTGATGAATTAACTCAAGTCTTCCTTTAATTGTTTTTTAAAAATTGAATTTTTTTTCCAATTATGTTTTTTAACATTGTGTTGGTTTAAGAATATGACTTCATAATATTTTTTTGTTTTTTATTAGGTTGTTTTATTCTCATGACTTGAATTGCAGGGTTTGGTGGGCTTGCTCAAGTTTTCTAGGGTTATTTTGTTTTTTTATCCTTTTTGTTAATTGATTTTTTTCCTTATCATATCATTTTATATTGAGTTAGTTAAAAATTGAGTTTTGTAATTTTTATAATATATTGTTATGAGGTTATTTTGATCTTACAACTTGGATCACTCATTTGGTTGGCTAACAAGAGTTAGCTTGATTTTTTTCATCAAGATTTTTAAAATATTTTTTTTTTAATTTCATTTTTCAACAATGAATTAACTAGGAATTAAGATTTAGAAATGTTTTAATTTGTCTTTTTATAGAGTTATTTTGTTCTAATGACCTAGGTCACATGTTTGACAAGATAGTCTGACTTGATTCAGTCATTTTTTTTTGGTTGGTTTTTTAATTTTAATATTTTTTTTAGTTCTGTCCTTTAACATTTTGTTTATTTACATATTTTTCTTATTCTTAGATGAATTAAAATTGTATTTTATAAATTATTTTATTAACTTTTATTTAACTTTTACATTATTATCATGTAAGATATTTATATGAACTTTTTAAGAATATTGACAAGAAATCTTTTCAAATTATGGGCATGCCTTTTTTTTTCCATGTAATTATGATTAATTTTCTTTTAGTTCAGTTGATTTATTAATTGATTATTTTGTTTTTATTATATAATAAAATAAAATATATTTATTGAATTTAACTAGGTCTATGACTTGAATTTGAGGATTTTTTTTTAACTTTTTAGAAATACACTGATAACACCTAAATATTTTTTTTATAAAAAAATATATATTTAATTCGACCTGTAGTATAATATGTGCCACCAATTTAGTCTTATTTTTTTTATATAAAAAAATAGAGGATTACACACACACTTTCACTTTATGCTACCACTTTTAACATCTGAATAAATTGAATGAAATAGGGATTTGGAATTGAAATCTTTATACGGCAAAGTCCCCTCAACTTTAATGTCAAGCTTCAAATTTCCATTAGAGTATGCAAGAGATCCTATGTAGAATATGTTGATTCTAAAAATAATTCAAATCCTCTTGTTCATGCATGTAATTTATCAAAAAAGGAAAAAAAAAAGCATGCTCAAGAGTTCTATCACCGGTGATCACCAACCTAACATTGGATTTCCATTTCAATAAAATCGGATAATTAATTTGACTATAATTCTTCATTTATTGTTAAAAGCATGATGGGCAAGAGAAGCATTGACACCTTAGTGAATAGACACTCGAGAAACAAGCAATTTGATTGATCATGAAATGGAAATTGAATCCATACAATGAAATAAATTAAGCTTGAGAACTTGAGAGAATGCTCAAGAATACAAGGGCCTTCCTGGCTATCTAGCTAGCCAGCTACAACGAGACACATGACTCCTCTACAACTACATTAATTAAATTATGTAGGAATGCTAGTAAATGCCTTCCATAAAGAAGCAGGAGAGTTGATAGGTTGGGACTTGGCCGGGGATGGTTAGCAGAATGTTAGCTGAATTTGTTGAGCAAGTTCCTCAGCGCTTAGTTGGCATTCAATTCCAATCTGTCAAGAAAGCAGTAACTTTCAATCATTAGCTTCAATAAACTACTGCTACTGTAAATCTATATTTAAATGAGCACAAGGAGCCAAAAACAAATCCTTAGTGAATTCAAACTCAGTGAAGACAAATGGCTGCAAAGATACCCTTTTTTTCAGTTCTTCTATTTATCTGAACACACATTAATATTTTTTTTTAAAAATAACACATGTTAGAAAAAATTAAAAAAATAGGATGGTTTGAACATAGCTGTTATTAAATAACTACTATTTTAAAATTAATGTCTCTTTCAAATGAATTAACATCTATAAAAATTAACCTAAAATTTTATAAATTCAATTCAATAACCAAAAGATGAAATTTAAGATTTAATAGCTTCAGAGAGAAGTTGGTGTGATATGAAAGAGAATGAGAGAAAAAAAAAAGAAAAGAAAAAATAAATTACCAGAAATACATTGATACTCAATTTTCGAGATAATTAGTATCATTAGAAAGATTTTAACGAGACAATTCTAACCATACATTAAAAAACTATCAAACAAGGTTGTAATTGATTCAGGTTAATTTATAGGTTAATTACAATCTTATTTGGTGGTATTTTAAGGTATAGTTAATTAGAATCGTTTCGTTGAGATCTTTTTAATGATACTTAAAGTGTTAAAAAGAGATTTCTGATATGTTTTTAATGACTACTTTTTATTTTTTTCTTGTTACATCACCTTCTCTTGTATTTTTCTATTTTTATTTTTTGATTATTAAATTTTCATGAAATATTAAAATATGACTAAATAACCGTTATTGAAAAATAGTGATTGTGATATTCTTAAACATGGTTGTTTTTTTTTTCCCAAATAGTTTTCTAACATGTATCATTCTCTCAAAAATTTTACCATATAGTGTCTTTTTTTTATTTAAAAAAATTCCCTAATTTTCTGCAAAATTAATATTGTGGATATCGAGAGACATGGAATGAACTTCAAAATCAGGACAAGTTGTGGTGCAATTAAGTGCTTATCCACGAATGCACATGCAATTACTATTACAACTACAACCATATTTACTATTTGTAATATTGTTTAATTATTTTGGCCAAGAAAATTGAACTATTAATAAAAAGAAAAAAAAATAGCATTCTATCCATGGACATGTAATAATCATGAGGTGACATTCCATGTCCGTCCGTTTGGGCTCGCACATTTTTCCTCTTCTTCCGCTAACAAGAGAGTGGTAGAGGGAAAACAAAACTACATGACGAGATCAGGAGTAGATATGTCTGTCTTCCTACCATTAATTTAAGAGGCCTACTTGGTGCATAAATTCCTTTTTTCTTTTCTTCTCCATTAATTATTATTTTGCTCTTCTAAATCGAATGATAATTAAATTGGTACCAGAAACTAAATCTAGGGGAAGTGACATCTTTTACCTTGATTGTGAAGGAATTGAGCATAGTTTCATGATCTACTGTGCTAATGCTCACATTTAGAATCTCGAGGGCAAGGTCTTCAAGGGCAGAGACTATTTTCACAGCTTGACCAGGAATCCGAGGAGATACAGTCTTCAATAGAACATTTGGACCTGAGAACTTAACCTCAACATCAGCAATTGCTGACTTAGAATTCGCGATGAGTTCGTTAATGTTGTCATTAATGGAGGAGGAAGAAGATGGAGATGGAGATGATTCAAGTGAATTAGCCATGGTAGGAGAAAGGTAACCTTGTTGCAATCTTGGCTTGTAAGGACTACATGGTTGTGGAGTTCTTGGGCTAATGGGCAAATTAAGTCTAGGACTTAGTGGTGGTTTTCTAGGGCTAAGTGGTGAAGGTCTTGGACTAGAAACAATCCTAGGGCTAAGAACTTCACTATAAACTTTTCTTTTCTTCTTGGCTTCAAGTGATTGCAGAACTTGTTGCAACTCATTGATGTAATCAACAACTCCTCCTATTATTGATGCTTGGTCTCCCTACGCATATATAGTAGAACAATAAGAAATAAAAGAGTGCAAAAAAACACTAAGGACAGATGGAGGAGAACACCTAATGAAAAGAAAAGAAAAAAATACTAGTGAAAAAGCTTACTCTTTTGACATAGAAGCAAGGCATGAGGGACCTCAAAACAGACAAGTGCTCATTCATCTGCTTTCGCCGGTTGCGTTCCACTGTAATATGCGACATACGTTGCTGCCCATCTGGATTTACTTCCTGATCTGAAGAAGCTGTAGCTGCTGCTGACGCTGAAATCTTTTGTCTCTTGCTTCTTGGAGAAGTTTCAAGCTCATTATTGGTCTCATCAGAATCATGCAAAGCATTAGATGATGAAGACTTTTGTGACACTAACTGCCTTGTTTCTTCGCTTTCTTTTGAGCTAACAACAGCCTCGTCTAATGGTGTTACCGGAGGGAAATCTGTTACACTGTCTAAACTCTCAAAAATAGCAAACAAATCATCTCCATCAAAGGCAGTGTCGCCAAATTCAGGCTGCATTTCTTCAAGAAAATCAGACAAACTCTCAGTCATTTTGAATGAACGTTTGGCCTTTTCCTTCTAGAAAAAAGACTCGCTTTTCTTGTACTTTTCTGGGAAAGTGAGCCAAAAAAAATGAAGGGCTAAACAAGGGCGGAGAGAGTGAAGTGGTACAGCAAGAGGCAGACGATAGCATCCATGAAAACTGCGAGTACAATAGTATTTCTCGAGATTGTCAAGATCGAGAAAAGGATCGCAGAAGGAGTAAACATAGAGACTAAAGTGGTGATGTGAAAGGGTCATCAAGGGTATCTTTTAAGCTCATTGTGTGAAAGTCAGGTTAACCTTTGCCTTCTGTTGCTGGTGATCGATCTTACGGGATTCAGGGAGTTATAGCTGCAGAAGCTTAGCACAGACACCCAAGATGACACATGCAAAGCCAAAGGGACAGTGAAAACTCACAAACAACGGAATGCCCGTTAGAGAGAGAAAATTAGCAGATGAGGGGAGGGACGGAGAGGGAGGGAGGGAGGGGGTTATATATATATAAGATGAGGATGTTAATGAAGAGGAATGGAGATTGTGTTCAAAGAACAATCAAGGCTTGGTGATTGTTAATGAAGCTCATTATATTATTGTGAATTTGAAAAATATTCTCCTTCTCATCAAAAGCGTGTGGAAAACATGATGTTAATTTACCGTATCGTTTTTGATATATATACAGATGAAATTGAATGACATAAGACTGAAATAAATGCAACGAATGTAGGAGACAAAAACTATTAATCAATTCCATTAAACACTACATATTTTTGACATTATTGTGATATAGTGATTCTATTCGAAGAAATTCGTAAATTCAGTGGATGTTTGCTAAAATATGTAGTTTAATTTGTTGTCACATGTGCTATTAAACTCTTACCCGTTTATTGGGTTATTTTGAAGTTTCAGGTTAAATTCTAAAAAATAACAAAGTAAGAATTAACTCAATTAAATTCCCAATTTAAAAGACTTATTCAAACCTATAATTCGATCTCATTGATCAAAATCTAATTTATTTTCTAAACAATAAAATTATTTTAATTAATATGGAAAAAATTGCTAATCCCATAACATGGACAGAATTTACCGAATTTAATAACTTTGATTGCTATAATGAATTATGTTAATTATTGTAACTTATTGATATAATTATATCTAAATGATATGTTTGATTATTTAGTTCACATAATACATGGAATAATCTTTATATTTTTATATTTGATGATTTCTTATTCGCTAGATATTGAATGAAACTAAAAGATTAATATTTAACTAAATACACATTCAGCATTAAATATTCCAATGAATTGCTCAATAAAGAAGAAAAGAAAAGTGTTTGGCATATATACACACACGTAAGGAGAAATGGTGGAGCGCAAAGAACATTTTCCGTAGTCGAACATGAATGGACTTTTAGTACTTCTTTGCAGACGTTGTCTGATTTAAAGGTAAATTTATTTTTGTATTTTAAAAGTTTTTTTAAATTAAATTAAATTCATTTCATTTCAAATTAATATTTTGTACTGTTTTTATATCATTTTCATGTGTTGATTATATTTAAAATAATTTTTTAAAAATAAAAATATTATTTTAATATATTTTTAAATAAATAATATTTTTAAAAATAATTTTCATTATATTTTCAAACATATTAAATGTGCTGTATGTCAGGTGGCAGAGGCTCCCTTGTAGCTGTACATTACTGGTTATGGGATCCGCCTCCGCCATGGAGTAAAACAAATATTTTATTATGACATCAATAGCACCACCTGCAAAAGACGTGAATTTATTGTAACAACACGGCTTGGTTGTAAAATTTAAGGTGAATATACTTCTCCTGTGACCTTGTGTACATCGGCTCAACGGGTCTATCGGAACAAAATAAATATTTTTTAAGTACAGTAATAATTGTTTTTAAAATATTTATTATTTAAAAATATATTAAAATAATTTATAATATCAGTATATTATTAAAATATCAAAAAAATTAAAAAAATTAATTTTTAAAAAATTATCGTTTCAACTGTATTTTTTAAATAACCCTGAATTTTAAAAATAAATTAATTTAAAATTTATCTAGTCAATTTAGTAGACCAAGATTTAGTTTGAATTTGAATTTTTTAAATAATATTTTTTTAATTTTTTAAATTAAAATAATATATGAACATGTAACAATACTTTTTAAAAGTCAAACTAGATTTAATAACTTTGGCTAAATAATTATTTTTCACAGGTGAGTGGAGTATGGAAGGTCGATTCAAGATTTCAGAGTATATTCTAAAAAGATTTTAGATTTTGGATCAATTTTCTCTATGAAAAATATTATTGTAGTATACCCATATAGAAAATTTTTTGGATAAGTTATAATTACATAAAGTTTATTATTCACTATTTTACACTGTTCTTTAAAATTTTAAAAGTTGCAACGGCACCTTTCTTATTTTAAATCAATTGCAAGCTTAGTAGGATAACTTTTTTTTTTATTAAAAAAAAAACTACTTTTGTTAAAAGCTATAATGGGCATTGCAACCAATGTATATTCATTTATGGAGACACATGAAAATGGATTTCAATGGATGTATCTCAGGCTGAGAGGTTCCAATCTATCGTCTTTCATGGAAGGATAAATGAGAATGCCAGATGAAATACAGTGATTCACTTACACGTTTCTTTCATTTCATTGAAAGGACAAGAAATCAGGACGAATAGCCATAAATGCAGGGCTGGAGAAGGCAGTGAAAGCACTTTTAAAAGAGGGGACTCCCTTCTTTTGAAAGGAAGAGGAAAAGGTAAAGGTAAAGGAATCATGAAGGCCGCCATGGCTTTAATAGAAAACTAAAGCCAAAATATGTGCTGCAAAGCCAGGGATGTGAAGAATGTTTCACCGAAAAATCCCAGCACCCAGAAAAGAATGCCTTAATGAAGGCTGTTCTTTTCTTTTTTCCATTAACAATTAAAGAGAATTCAATGGCTATAAAAATCATTCATTCATTGTAGCACAGAAAGCAATATATTTCTGTACTTTCTTGTGTATTATGAAGATGCAAAGTCCATAGTTTTTTACAGCAGCAAGTAAACACCGTGCATGGCTCTTTCCTGGATTTCCTTTTCTTTTTTTGCAAAAACAAAATTAAATAGTTCATCATTTAATTATGGATGAGTTGAATATAGCCTAATTAGTCATTTTTTTAATCCAAAATAATGTAATAATTCATGGATGAATTTAGTAGTTTTTTTCCCCTCCAAAACTCTCGTCTTTACTCGTCAAAATTTTCCATCACGTCCAATTTTCCCTCCAAAACTGTTCTGGGTATTTGGATTTGGGCCTATCTTGCGCATCCTAGGTGAAAGACGCAGAAGGTCTCCTTTTGGGGTAGGAAGGAATGGAGCCGTCAATGAGCACCACTATGAAAGACAATTAGAAATATAATTAAATATATCTAACTGCTATTTCTTTTTTTCTTTTAAAATTGAATTAGTTAAAAAAGAAAAAGAATAAAAGTAGAATCAATGCATATCTAAGCGAAATTCAAAGCTAATTCAAGCTTAAGTAAATTTTATTAAATTAAATTAATTAAGATAATAAAATCAAGAGATACACTTTAATTACTACATAATTTTGAATAGAAAAGAGATTTCAAGAAATAACATATTTATTAATTGACCCAGGATCTTTCCTTTTTATTAATACTTATAAATTAGAAGAAAAAAACAAACAATTCTTAAATGAGACATTCCAGCCCCATAATGAATCGAAACGATTCATTGTTTTAGAAAACAATAGTGCTGACTTTATCAATGAATTATTCTCAAAACTAATTATTTTAATAATTTCTAATCTTTAAAATTTGGATTTCATCGAAAGGTCCCCCAAATTTAATAATAGCTGAGATTTTTAGAAATTGGGGAAAAATATTTTAGTAAAGTTCACGAATTACAAAGTTAAGGGAAAAGAAAACACGAATGTTTCATTGAGCATGCACCATAAAACTTCACGAATGTTTCATTGAGCATGCACTTGCTTGACTACCGCCATGATGTGGAGGCCCTAGCTAGCAATTACAAAATTCAAGAATGTTTCATTGAACATGCAATAAAAAAAAACACCATGAATGGACAGCTACAGTATCATTACTTACAGCAACATTTTCTAAACACGACAAAGTAAGCATAAGCTTGTGAATTTGTAAACAGAGATAGGAGGAAGAAATAAATGAGAGAGGAAGCTTGTCATGAAGGCGTACGAGTGCTGAGCAAAGTCAGCAAGTTGTCTGCTACAATAATATTTGATATATAAAAAAGATTGAAGCTTAGCTTTCAATGCGCAGACACGGCTTCTGCGTGTCTCCGGTGAAGATGTAATTTAATTTTCTTTATCAATATCAAATTCCAAAATATACTACATATTTTCATAAACGTTTCTGATTTCTCTACGTATCTTGAGATTAAGTTCTTGCCGAACTGGCAAGTGGGTTTTTTTGTACATTATTCGTTTTCGTCTAAGGCTTCAAATTTTGGACGAACTCAAGAGAAGAAAATTTATTAGATGTCTTGTTTAAGATCTAAGCTGGGAAGGATTTAATTTCGATGCACAAACATTTGTCCGAAAATCTCTTAAATGTCTCTGGCTCTAGAGTTTCTGGAGAGGTCACATAAAATATGGCAGAGATTGTAGGGAAGGAGTAAATGCAGATTCAGTATGGGATCGCGGTTTCATTTAAAGTAAAATGTTTCTTCACCATTGATGAGTATTTATCAACACAGTCAATTAATGTTTCTTCCAAATAGATACAAAAATTTGCTCTCACCCATCAATTTTCAACATTTACCACACTCAACTACCAAAACTCTCTCTCTCTCTCTAGTTTCTAGATTGAGAGTACAAATGGGAGTTTCGTTGGCTGAACCAGAAGCCATGATAATCAGGTAACTGTGGAGATTCTTGTTTTTACGTAGTAATTCTGCAGATGCTTTTTATGGACAGCCTCAAACCCAAGGTTTAGGTTTTCCAATGTCAGAGAGATTCTTTTGGACGCAGTTATCATGTATGAACCCAAGGTATGCCCATGCAGTAACCACTATAAATAAGTCATTGGGTGTTTTTTCAAAGTAACACATGCCCAAAGAAAAGTTTAGGTTTTTTTTTTTCTTTTAATTGGTTGCAATGTTCTCCTAAGCCAACTCTCTTTTTATATATATATATATATATATATTTACAATGTGAAAGACAATTTTTTAATCACTTTTAAGGGTATGAATCGGCATGCAATATGATAAAATAATTATAATTTTAAATATGATTATTGGACTGTGATTAAATTTTATTAGATAATTTTATAAATCTAATTCTATAAAAGGGTCTACTTGTGTAACCCGAAGAGGTTTGGAAAACCTTCGAATTAAACCTAGAAAATGTTATTTTTTATTATTTTTCTAATTAATTATATATCTTAATTACTTTCGTATAGTTAGCTTTAATTCATAAGTGCGTAACCTTGCCTTTTCTTTCTTTAATTACTTCCTCTATCACTGTTATGGTAACGAGACCTTTATAACCACCATTGATTATTCCACAATCTGATTCTTCTAGCGTTGTTGTATTGATCATTAT